AAAAATCTCCTTTTCTAAAAAATCTTAAAATAATATATTATATAAAAAAAAGAAATAAGTAATATAATAATATAAATATCCGGATTAAAAGTCTAATAAATCTATATTAATCCTGAAGCAGGCTGTTATAGTAGTAGATATAGGCTGCTATAGCAGTAGATCTTATATAATAAAAATATATGCTCTATTTACTATTCTAGAATTTTTTATTTATATAATATATAGTCTATTAAATAATTCTTCTACTATTACAGCTGTTATATAATACCTACTGCTACAGCAGCCTATATCTACTACTATAGCAGCCTACTTCGGGATTAATATAAATTTATTAGACTTTTAAGCTAGCTATTTATATTATTATATTATTTATTTCTTTTTTTTATATAATATATTATTCTGAGATTTTTTAAAAAAAAGATTTTTTAAAATTAGTCTTAAAATTAATAAAAAATTATTTTTAACTATCTTATTTGTCTTATCTAACTAGTATATCTACTTGTTATACAATACCTACCGCTACAGCAGCCTATACCTACTACTATGGCAGCTGCTTCGGGGTCGATATAGATTTATCGGGATTTTAATCCGGATGCTTATATTATTATATTACTTATTTTTTTTTTATATAATATATTATTCTGAGATTTTTTAGAGAAGATGATTTCTTAAAAATTAGTCTTAAAATTAATAGAAGACTGCTTTTAACTATCTTACTTATCTTGCCTAACCAGTATGTCTACTGCGTCAAGTAGTTCCTAACACTACTGTATTAAGTAGTTTCTAATAACAGTATCAAACTTTATTATTTAAAAAATATTATTAATAAAAATATTTCATTAGAATAAATAATAAAATTATTTATAACTATACTATTATATTAAATAGCCCGGCTTGGCAGAAAAATATAATTATTATATAATATTTATTATTATAATAGTTTATATCTACTTTTATTACAGTCTGCTTTAAAATTAATATAGATTTATTAGATTTTTAATCTAAATATTTATATTATTATATTACTTCTTCTTTTTATATAATATTCTATTCTGAGATTCTTTAGAAAAAAAGATTTTTTAAAAATTAGTTTTAAAACTAATAAAAGATTATTTTTAATTATTTTATTTATGTTATCTAACCAGTGTATCTACTGTGTCAAGTAGTTCCTAACAAATAACTAGAATATTTTTATTAAGCTAGTATAGTCTTCTTAAGAAATCTTTATACTAAAAGTCCAGATTCTAAAAATAAAAAAAATTAGATAAAAAGTTTATAAATAAAATTAGAAATTATTTATAAAAAGCTAATTTAATAAACTTCTATCTATTATAAGCTTAAAATAAGAAGAATATTTTTAAAAAAATATAATTTATTTTAAAATATATATATTTCTATTAAATAAGTATTATCGGTATTATCGAGAAAGATATTATTAAAGAAAGTATTATTAAAAAAGATATTCTTAAGAAAAGTATTATTAAGAAAAATATTATTAAGAAAGATATTATTAAGAAATAAATTATTCAAAAAGATATTATTAAGAATAGTATTATTAAGAAAAACATTTAAGTTTATTATATATCAAATTATTAATAATATATAGAATATTAATAAAAGAAAGACTTAGTATTAATTTAATATTAAAATATTCTTACTATTAAATTTCTGTTTATTTTATAAATAGAAAGTCTTAGTTTTTAAATAAACAAAAGGTTAGTTAAATTATAGATATAACAAAGAAGAGAATATATTTAGTAAAACTATTTAACTAAATATTTTAATTTTTAGACTATTAGACCAGTAAAAAATATAAAAATCTAATTTTTTTATTTAAAATATATTTTTAGCTGTAAAAAGAATTAATATATAAAATAACTAAAAAACTTAAAATAATGAAATAAGAGAAAGAAACTACTAATAATATAATATCTGCTAAAAAAATTAAATTTATAAAAAAATAGAATTAAATCTTTTTTTTAATAGACTATATAATAATAATAATATAAGTTAGATTATTGTTATAAAATCAGTAAAAATATATTATTATAAAAATATTAATAAAATATTAAATCTAATAATTATAAATATTAATTTAGAGATAGAAAAAATAGATATAAAATATATTTATCAATATTTTATAATATATTTAAAAAATAGACTTACAATATTATACTATTAATTAAAATTAAAATATATTTATATATTTTAGTATACTAAGTAGTAGTACTAGTAATTAAAAAAATATTAATTATTAAAGTTTTAAGCTAATTTCAAATAAAAATATTTTTAAGTTATTAATTACTACTAGTATTATTAGTAAATAGTATTAAGAATAATTATTATATTTTTTTTTATAATATTCAGAAGAAGTCTACTTATTCTATTTATATATTATAGTATATTTTTCTAAAAACTTATTTTTCCGAGATAAAATTAAAAAAGATACTTTTAATATTTTTATAAAATAATTTAAAAAGATTGCTGCAGAAAATTACTAAAAAAATATAAGAACTATTTATTTTATTTTTTAGATTATAAATATATATCTTATTTCTTATATAATTTAAATTCTTTATATATACTATAACTATAATAAAATTATTTATTTTTATATTTAATTTTTCTATACCTAAACTTTTATATTTATATAAAAGTAAAAAAAGAAAAATAAATATATAACTTTTTACTTGACTTAATAAAGCAGTAAAATAAAAAAAACTCAAGATCTTTAAAAAAAAGCTACTTAATATAAAATAAATGAATAATATTAATATTTTTAATTTTGATAATCTTAAGAATATATAGAAATTTATTAAAAATATACTATTCTTAAAAATCTCTAGAAAAGAGCAGTATTAATAAAATATATATAAATAAAACTAAAATAGATACAGTAGTAGACATAGAGTGGCTAACGGCCAGGTCAGGTCAGGTTAATTGGAATTTTTATACCTGACCGCCAGGTTATGGCCAGGTTAAGAAAAGTTTTATACCTGACTACAGTATAGCTAAAAAAGAGATAGTTAACTATTTTAACTGTTTTTAGTACTAAGACCTATCTGCTATATCTATTTAGGCTTTAGTACGGTTAAGATATATCTAGATTAAATAGTTATTAATCTGACTATCTTAACTGTTATTTAAAAGTATATAGAAACAAGCTTTTAAAATCAGAAAAAAATAACTAAAAGAAGTATTAGTATCTTCTTTATCTTTATTTTAAAGAATTAATCAGAGATTTCTGATAGTATTAATAAAATTCAGCTTTTTATAAAATTATAGTTTTTATAGCAAGAAATATATATAAAAATATATAATTACAGCTCGGTTTAAGCCATATATCTCAATTATAATATATAATATTAAAAAAACTATATATTTACTAATAATCGGACTACTAAAAATAAATATACTATTTTTATTTTATTATTCTTTTTCTTACTTCAGCTTAGATAGTCTATTATATTCTTATTTTCATCTAAAAGAGCTGAATTATTTGTATAATAAATTAAACTTAAAGAGAAATCTGTATAATACTATTTATATAGTTTTTCTCGGCAACTGTATTTTCTAATAATTATCTTATTAAATATTAGATACTGTAAGAGCAGTCTACTATTTTTATTTTTTTAATCTAGTTAATCTCTTTTATTCTTTTTATCCAGTTGATTTTTTTAATCTGTTTAATCTTTTTAATTCTAAGTATTCTAAAGACCTGTTATTAACTATACTAATCTTATTTTATTTATTTAGTTTAACCGACTCCTCTGTATAATAATAATATATATCCCGAAGTCTTTTTATATTTTTTTTCTTTTTTCTTTCTCTTTCTATACTTAAAATTCTTGTATCTTAATACTAAATAGATTAGTTTTTAATTATTTAAACAGCTCTTATAAATACTATATTTTTTATAGAAAACTTTATATAAGTTTTTTTTAGGCCTTTTCTATAAATATTAGAATAATCTAACTAATCTGACTAATCTAACCGATTAAAATAAATAAGATGCGGCAGACGCCTTAGCTGTATTTAAAATATAATAAATTATATTTATATAAAAATATATCTTAAAATAAAACAAACTGTCTTTATAAAATTTTCTACTTTTTTTTTTCTATATCTATTATTTACAGAGTAGTCTTAGAATTATTAATTATAGTTATTTAGTTTATTTTTAGAAAATACTATCAAGCTTTCTTCTTCTATTTTTTAAATATTTATAAACTATAATAATACTTAAACTAAGATAAGCTTTTTAAGTTAGATTTTTTCTTCTTTCTTAAATCTCCAGATTACGCGCGTCGCAAAAAATCGAAAGATTATTTTATATCCAACTTGTAAAAAAAAGTACTCTATTTTTTAGAATTAATAGCAGAAAATAATCTTTTCTAAAGTCCGTATATAAACTTAAAAACTACTATTTTACTTTGGTCGGAAAAAAATATTAATAATATAAAACAGTTTTTAGAAAAATATATTATTTTTCGATAGAATTTTTTATATCTATTATATTACCTGTTTTTATATTCTACAACACCCGGGAATTAAAAACTTAGAAACTAGTTCTATAAGCTACTATTTTTATAAAAATTATAAAAAGAAAATACTATTAGTAGTATCTAAGCAAATAATTAATTAGATACTAAATAAAGAACTATTACAGATATTTATTTATTTTTTTAATATAAATCTTTTTTAATTATTATTTTTTCTAAGCCTCTATAGTCTATAATAAACAAAACTTTTAAAATCAAGTCCTACACTTTATAATTGTTTGTTGCCTATTATTCCGAACTATTAAATATATTTAATTTAAATAAATAATTAATCTTACAGTTTTATCTTTTTACTAAAAATCAAGTTCTTCTAATTAAGCACAGATTAAAGAATATTTCTTAGAATTATTAAAAGATATATATATACAGCTGTTATTAAAGTTCTTAGATATTAAAAAAATATTAGTTATAATAGACTGCTAGACCAGTTCTAATTAAAAAATATTTCTTACTTTAACTGGATATTTTTTAATAAAAGATATAGATTATTATAAAATTCTACTAGACTTCCGACCGGTATCTAGATCTTATACTAGTAAAAATCTAATTATAATTATTCTATTAGTTTTATATAAACATAACCTGTTCTATCGGTTATTAGATATAACAACTAATAATACTAGTAATAATAATTTAATATTTAGTATAATCTTATTTAAACTCCGGACTTAGCTCAGCTAAAGTATTTAGTTTTATAATACTTTACTTAATCCCGATTTTATAATAATTATTTAAAGCTAGTATTATATATCTTGTTTTACTTATATAATTTAGCTTGTAGTTAATACTCTTCTGCAGAAACTTTAAATTAAGATTTTAAATAATACTGTCGAATATATATAAAAGAATTATAATAAAAGTTTTAAAATCTCTTCTGGTATTTTAAAAACTTTTAAAAAGATATATTTTAAAAGCTATTTATAAAAAATTAATACAAAGAACTTCTATTATAATAAAAATTATTTAAATTAGTTTTTTACAGACAGATTCTAAAGGTCTTTTTTTAATAATAGCTAATAATACTAATTTTTAATTATAAATTCAAAAAATTGTATAATTTATAAATATAAGCTTTTAATACTATAAAAAGTTCCAGCTTATTTAACAACTTAAATTAGGCTTAGTTTATTATTTTTTTCTTAACTGCAAAACTTGCTGAAATTTAATCTATCTTATAATTTACTAGATATTTAATTTTTATCAAGCAATCAACAGTTTTATTTAATATTATAATTATAGTAATATTAATTATTTTTATCCTACTATAATTAAGTAGAAACAGATAGAGTATTTTTTTAAGCTTCTATACTTTTTTTTTTTTTTATATTATATCTATCTAAGAACAGTAGGCCTACTGTTTATAAGATTTATAATATTTATAATAATTTTTTTAATTATTTAGATTACTTAATTAACCGACTGGTAAGAAAGCAGGTATTTTAAAAGAAAAAGATTTTTAAAGACTTATAAAATATATATTAAAAGCTTCGAAAATACTACTATTATATCTACTAGGCAGAAGACTATATCTATATAATTATAATTATTCTAAACCCAATATTAAAGTTTAAAAAGTTTAAAAAGAATATCTAGCTGGATAATAATACTAACTAGTATTTTAAGTACCGAATTATTTTTAAAAAAATATTCTATTTCTATCGCAGTTAGAATCCGGCTATTAATATACTATTAACTATCTCCGGGTTACTGTCAGGCCTGGATAAAATCTTTTATAATATTTTTAAATACCGGAGACTTTTACCAGCAGCCGAGATATTTAAAAAACTTAAAATATATCTAGATATTAAAAATATATAGCTTATTAAAATATCTTTAATTAAATTAATACTATTTTAGATATTATAAAATATACTAATATTCTTACTTACTAAAAGTCCCGCTGTAATTAGTTTTCTATTTTTTATTAAATAACTAAAAATTTTCTTTTAGTTACTACCAACAGTATTAGTATTAAATATTTATTTAATAGTTTTTAAGATATCTGCTATTATCGCCGAAATCGTCTTTATTCTAATATAATTAAAACAGTAATACTTTAGATATATACTAATTATTTTACTATTAGTAAGAAATACCAGAATATTTTTAATAATTTTAATCCGGATTTGATTATCTTTATACCTAAGATATAAGAGAAGAATAAAATAATTATTATCTTTTATATTAATAAAAATAAGAATATAGATAATCTTAAAAATGATTTAGAAGATAGATTATTATTAAAAACAGAAAAGCTAGCTTTATCTAAGTCTTTAAATATTATATATACTTAGATAGAGATAGAGACCCGGTTTTCTTAATTTCTTCGCTATTATAATTATTATTCTGGATAGTATAAAGAGTAGTATAATTTTATTAGTTTATTTAATATTAAATTTTATATTTTTTATACTAGATTCTGTAAATATTTTTTTTAAAATATAGTATACTCCTCGGGATTACAGAGAAAAAGATCAAGCAAATCAAATAGATCAAACAGATTAAATAAATTAAATAGATTAAATAGATTAAATAGATTAAATAGATTAAACAGATTAAACAGATCAAATAGATTAAACAGATTAAATAAATAAGCTA